AATCATATAGCGGGCTCTCTCAGCAGACTCAATTTGCAGGTGCACGAATGGTCCCTTGACAACTCCATCTTTCATCAACTAACCACTCTATGGGGATGACCACACATGGACATCTTCACATCAACAGAAAACACAAAATGTGCCCTCTATTGCTCCAGGGCAGGGATAGGTCCCGGCTCCATCGGAGATGCTCTGATGACATAATGGATGTCAGGTCTGGTTTACTTCTTCAATCTCTCTGATTCTAAGTCTCTGGCAGACTTTAGATAGTCAGAGAGTACTAAGAATATTTGAATTAAAAGTTAGATTGAGAACTTAGAATGTATAAATTATATATGTATTCAGGAAAAATCATCAATACAATAATAGAAGAGGAAATTGATGAACATTCAGATCCTTGTAGTAAGTGAAAGTCATTGGCTGGGAGCTGTCCAAGTTAAATTCTGTATATTTGAGCAGCAATAATAGGCAACACTATTATGTACTGCCAGTCATAGTGACAAAGGGTGTTATAGCTGTTACAAAATTTGTTCCATAACCAGACTCCATAACGCCTATACAATTAAAGTGAATCTCACAGACATCAAGATTGTACAAACATATGCCCCAGCTGCAGATACAAAAGAAGAGGGCATAGACAAATTCTAAGACCTCAAAGTTGATAAAAACATATGAAAAAGCCCCACCTACATTTCACAATGGTGAGGAATTAATGGTAAGATAGGGGAAAGAGCCAGCAGAGAGTTTGTGAGAAAATATGGGCCAAGACCATGATATGAATGAGAAGAGCAGATGATACAGTTATATGAAGAACTTCTAGTCACAATGCCACATTCAAATTATGGAAAGCTATTAGGAATTGGTTGAGGCAGATAACCACAGATACTAAAAACAGCAGCCTTGGCTCTTTGCTACTCAGCAGGCAAATATTCCAGTCTAGTGCAGTATTGTTCTGCCCATGCAAAATAGGTAGATGTAGCACTTAATGAAAACTATAGAATCATTACTAGATGCCTGAAGCCAACCCTTATTGATTTAATCAGTTACTTAGCAAACATTGCACCCAGTGATGTGTGTAAAGAGGTGCAACTAATAGTGAAAGACTATATCAAATGTTTATTTGCTCTTTGGCTATCTTCCCATGCTCTCCCAGATTAAAATCAAGTTGTTGTTGTTGTTTGAGAATATTTGTGAATCTTGAAGAAATAACAAGGATAATTCCTGGACTGCAATGTGGAAATATATAACTACCCACCTCTTAAAATGATTGTAACCCCAGGAAAGTCTAGCCCAGCCATTCTCAGCTGGGGCCATATGGCCCCCTGGGGACCCTGGCACATTTGAAGGGAGCCACAGACTGGAAACTATTCTTAACACACCATGTTATAAGTTTCATTATACAATTTATACAATCCTGATTCTGCCTATATTTTTTCATATCCTTTTACTATTATTTTTTGTTATATTACGTGTCTGTAAGATACCTAGAGTGGTTGCAACGACCAGATAGGCAAGATATAAATAGAATGAATGAATGAATGAATGAATGAATGAATGAATGAATGAATGAATAAATAAATAAATAAATATTTAGAGTTGGCCAAAAAGAGACTGGGAATGTCTGGTCTAGCCCTCAGTCACATGGACTTACTTGGGGGTCATTTAATATGCTATAGTCTGGAGTTACCAGAATAAAGGTGAACCCAAGAAAATGAGTTTTTTGCACTGATAGTTATTTCTGAGTGCAGAGAATGGGCAACGTAGTATCTATGAGCCTTTCAAGGTGTGCTATGGAAGATTTGATGGTAGCTGTCCTGAATGCTCTTGATGTTGCCTGATACTGGGTACCAAGTATCTGATATATTTATTAATTGTACTATAGTTCTTCTGACATGAGCAAAGAAGAATCATCACCAAGGAGACTGTATATACAGATAGAATATAAGAAAGAACTAACAAGAATCTGGAAAGGAATCAAATACATTTTTTAAAAATGATAACCGAGGTTCTCAGCAATATTGGAACAGTGTTAAGTTAAGGAAGATGTTTCCTGGAGCCAAAATAAGTTCAGTGAGTTACTTCTCTGTGTGTATAGGTGTGAACGTGCATGTGTATGCGTGCGTGTTTGAGCTCTATGTCATCAAGTTGGAACCGACTTACAGTGACCTAATAGGGCTTTCAAGGTAAATGAGATATTTAATGAGCGGTTTTACCAGTAGAAGTAGAAGAAATACAATCACAGATGCTCCAGTCGTAGAGCATCTCTTTCTCTATGTTACTGGGAATTACCACTTTGTTCCTTTTGTTGTCTGTACCTGGATCTTGCCACCCATTTCCTGATCGTTATTTCATCCTGTACTATATTACCTTCCATGCCAATGTAATATAGCAGCTGCTAGCGATGATGTGACCACAGTGAGTGTAAGGTCCAAATGGTTCTCTTTTGGGTACTGTTAATAAGTGAAACCAAATATACAAATTGATGTGTTCAGTACTGAAACAGGTTTGGCCCTAGGGGTTACACTGTATTATGAAAAAAGAATGTAATACATAAATTATACATTTTTTGTTCACAATTAGTGTAAAACTTAGTTCCTGTTGTTAATTGTTGTAGAATTGGGAATGAATGGCCAATTGACAGTGACTTATTAGAGTTTATAGTTCAAGGAACTGACTGGATAGTCCAACAAGTTGAATACCTGGGTTTGGAACTAGAGGTTGGTCAATCAGTTCTTCATTGTGCCTCCAGGGAGGGGAGTCAGCTTTGTGCACACTGCATAGCCCAGAGTGCCCCCACAAAAAGGGATGGATAAACAGCACTTCTGGGTACTCTATATCTAGAAAACTATGGAAGGGGTTGCTATAAGACAAAAACAACTTTCTTTTATATATTTGTAGCTCTGCAGTCATTGAATGCTAATCTATGTGAAGAGACCTTTGAGATTATTGAGTTTCCCAGCCATAGCAAATCAGTGTATTGGGATTCTGAGATTTCCATGTATTGCACTGTGCAACTATAGGATGACATTTGAATCCCATGCAACATTTGAAAGATGACTGCATGTTCCTACACAAAAAAGATGACAGTCTTAGCCTTTGATAATGCAGTAGAATGAAAACAGCATATCTGAAATTGATTTTATGTTTTATTCATATTTAAAAACTTGGTTTTTAGCAGACTTCAGGACCCCACTGGGATATAAACTCAATAAACAGGAGAGTTTGATTCATTTTTGTGTGTTTGCAAATTTTCAACATGATTGCATCCAAAGTAACATGCCATATCAGATGAACAATGCTAAATAGAAACAGTAAAAAATGTAGACGAGTATGCTTTTGGGAGCAGGTAGGGTGTAATGCTCTGCTTGCAAGTGTCCTGCAGGGTCTTTGGCTTGCTATAGCACAAACCAATACAGTATTGCCCTGTTCAAAGCAACAGGGCTTCTGCTTGCACAAATGGGTAGTAAATGCCTCCTTGTATAAACTTCAGGGAAGCTGATTCACTCACACAGTGGACCATTGTGCAAGTGGTAATAAGATAGAGGATGGTTTAATACATTTCGGTACCGGTGTAGTAGAAGAAGGAGGCGAGGTATGCTTCCTCTTTCTGGAGGACATCTGAGCTCTCGGTATTGGTACCAGTATCGAGAAGTCATCTGCCGAGGAGTATAAACATTATAGTTAGAAAAATAACCATGTACCGTATTTTTCCGTGTATAAAATGACACTTTTTTCCTAAAATAATTAAAGGAAAAATTGAGGGTCGTTTTATACACGAAACGAAGCAGTCACGCTTGGGCACCTCTTGTTGCCGCCACTATCGCCCAATTGACTCTTCCAGAGCTTGCAGCTTGTCCCCTCCAGTGGCTGAGGCACCAGCAGCAGGAGGAGGCAGAGACGGAGGCGAAGGAGCATTCACATGCACTGGGGTGCCTCTTGCTGCTGCCTCCCCCCACCCACCCGATCACCACCTCTAGCAAGACTGACAGGTTTAGTTCAGTGGCTGCATTGTCCCCTCCCATGGTGTAGGCAGCAGGAGGCAGAGGCTAAGGAGCATTCACACGCGCTCTGGGGCCTCTTGCTGCTGCCTCCCCCCCGCCTGATCACCGCTGCCTTGTCCCCTCCCGTGGTGGAGGCAGCAGGAGGCAGAGGCGAAGGCAAACAAGCACTCGTGCATACTTGGGCACCTCTTCCTGCCTCGTGAGCAAAAAGGAAAGGGAGCAACGGCTCTCCTTCCTTTTTTGCTAAACTCTGTGCCTTCTCAAGAGGCGAGGAAAAGCGGCAGTCACTTTGACAGCCACTTACCTTGCCTTTTGCCAAGGTACGGGGCTTAGCAAAAAGGGAGCCCTTTGATCCCTGCTTTTTTAAATTTGGGGTTAGAAAAAGTGGGGTTCGTCTTATACTTTGGCTCGTCTTATACACGGAAAAATATGGTAATCAGCAGGCAGATGGAATGTTGGAATGCTAGTCGGTCCATACAACACTGTGTAAAAAAGTACAAAATTCAAATTAAAAGTTGTGTTTTAAAGACAACAGATGAACCCTCATGCTGAAATATGCTGTATGAACAGCCAAACTGGTATCATCTTCATGAAGGTAGTTTGGTTTTTCCACAATGAATTTATGCACAATGGCTGGCAGTTACATTTGTGATAGTTGTTTTCCTCTCTTCTTTCCCTTCTCTTTGCCAAAGTAAACATTACCTTCTCCTTCTCCAAATTCCACATACAGTATACACATAATTTTGATATGACCTCCCCACTAAACACTTTTTCTAGCTCGACCATCAAGATGGCAAGAATTATAAGGCTCCAGAACATTTTGTACAGAACACTCAGTTAATATGTTTAGAGTCAGCAATACTTTGGTAGAAAATAATGTTAACGGGTTTTAGAATCTGCATTCAGACACTTGCCATGTGTACAGATGTCAATATACATGTAGAAGTTACTTCAGCACACTTGAAATCAGAAATCTTTTGGTTCTTTTGTGTGTTTTAGATCCTCTGTCAATGGGGCCGCAGAAAGCTCTGGAAACAATCGGTGCAAACTTGCAGAAACAATATGAAAACTGGCAACCAAGGGTAAGTACTTTTAGTGTTTGTTTGAGGTCAAAGCCTCTCTTTTCCTGGTACGTGTGTCCATTTCTGATATTGTTACATGGAAATGCTTTCCATTCAGATTAAGTAAGGAAAATGTCTTACATAACTTGACAATATTCCTACCTTCTCTGTCCTTGTATATGGGATCTTTCAAGTTTTTTGAATATAACTCTCAGGCTTCTGTTGGACTAGCAGTCTTTAAAAATAGGAATGATGTTTAAAATCAAGATTTTACACTGCCATTTGTATTAAGCATTTTCCTATTTTTATTTTTATTATTTTCAAAATAGGCAAAGTAGCTGTTTATCTCCACAGATTGAGTTCTTATTTGTGTCATCGTTTTTAGTGCTTTTTACTAGTTTGAGATAATTAGACTATATTGCTAATGGCTGTTTTCTAGGTTGCTTTAGAGTTTTATTTTAAAGCACGATAGTAAAAAAAATGGAACAGATTGGTTTCCTCCAATATAAGCAGTTATTTATGTGGAGCATTAAACACCCCCCTCCCCTGGGTATGGCAGTTTTGATTATGCTAAGGAAAGCATCCCCAGGTAATGTGGTAGATAAAATTTCTGTTACCATGTGGTCATTTGCTTCATAGAAATACTGTCCTATAAGGAAGGATGCTCACCCAGCTAAATTTTCAAGTGGTTATGCTCTTTGAACATCATATCTGAAATGGGCCTGAAAACGGTTATCACTTCTCATTTTTGTAAGAAAGGATAATTATTATATATTGTTCAGCTCCTACTTGTTCCTGGTGTGCACTTGTGATTTAAATATACTGGTCAAGGTTTGGAGCTGGGCTTTATTTACTTTGCATCTCTGTGTCTTTATAGTTTAGTGATCCTTAGAGACATATTGCTGATATAATTTGAATTAAATTTCAGTTAGTAAAGTGGGCTGCATTGACAAAGTAAATGTTGGCCATGAGAAAAGGATAGGTTTGGAGAAGGAAAGCAGGGAAGTGGATGCAATTATAATTACTTTATTCCATGGAGCTGACTTGGGAACTACTGTTTCATTGTGGATGCTTGGATAAATACAGGGGCACAGGCTACTTTCAGTTGTCCTTGTTCTTGATAGTTTGTAAAAATAGAACTTGAAATCATAAATATGGGGCTTCTTCATTGATTCCTATTATTCCAAGGAAGAGATCTGGGGAGAATCAAGTGAACTGGGAAAGAAAATGAGGAAGAAAATCTACCCAAAAACTAACCCCCAATTGAGAAAGGAAATAGGGAGAACTACCCTAAAAACTAACCCCCAAAGAATTAAAAAAAAAACACTGACTGGGACTGTTGTGCTTCTCTTGAGACTCGTAGTAGTTTTCCACAATGCTCTTCATTACAAACTTCCATTACCATTGGATTCAGTTGGAGCAGCAGCTTATATTAAAGACATGAGACTTTGTGAGGCCTCCCAAAAGGGAGCGGGCAATCCACTGGTTAACCGTGTAACATGTAGATCCAGGCATTGGATTCAACAGGCCTCTTGCCTTGATATAAACCTTCCTTCTGGGTACACAAAGCAACACAGATTTCTCTAGGAAAATGAGACAACAATCTGATTCATGTGAAAGGAAAGGGGGACTTTGATTTGGAAATCTGGGAAGGCAGCAGAGCAGAATGACATTTTAAAGTCGGGTCATATTTCCTGCCAAGACCCTACACTGGACAATTTATAACCTTTCAGATTAGCTGGCTAGGTAATAACTTGAGCAGGTGGATGTTTGCATTCGCTTTAAAAAATCAGGGAGGAACAGAAAGGCACTGGCTTAGACTTCTTTGAAGCCACCCGAGACTGCTTTCTCATTTTTGGCCTTCAAGCCTTCAAGCCTCTTTCTGTGGCTCCAAGCTTCTTGCTGCTTCTACATCTCTGGCTTTGCTGCCTAATAAAATGGATTCTTCAGATGTGAGGGTGCTGTTAGTGAAAATCAGAGGTGCAAACAATTCACCAGGCTGAATCTCTCTCTAACCTTTCTGCTGCTTGCATATGCAGATCATTGTGTCTTTTGTGGGTTTTAGGCAAACCATAGTCTGCTCTTTTATCTGAACAAGTCAAATGTAGTTTATGCTTGCTCTGCAAAATGGGACCAAAATAATTAAACAGCAAACTGTGGTTTGCTCAAACGAGTAAATGGAGCTGGAACCCTTATGAATAATGTGAGGAAATAGGGAGGATAGGGATGGTGGTGATTTTTAAGCTGTCTTCAGTGTTTGAGATTTGAGAGTTCAAGACTCGGTCCAGGTATGTATACATAATGAACTACCTTTTCTGTCAGTATAAATTATTTTGGAATCTAAGAGCAAAACCATCTTACTGCAAATATATTAATGAAGTATAATGTTCTTGAATCCAAATGTTGTGTGTTTTTATAGGTTGCATAACACAGCAAACCTGGTGTTTTTCCCCCCTGGTCCTAAAAGGACTTCTCTGCTTTTCTTTTGTTGAACTGACCATGTTATTGGTACGTGTGTAAATAGAGATAGCAATCTTCTGTCTGGAATCTTGTTCAGTGGACAGCTCCAGGGTATACTCTGGAATTTTGAAAATATTTTAGATATTCTGTTCCCTTCTCAAGAAGAATTATCAGATGAGAGCTTGTTTGCCTTCGCTATGACAATACTCTTAGGTACTCGTAGGTTTATTCCTAGGCTATTCTATTTTAAAGCCTCACTGGTTATACATAGACATGTGCACATTTTATCATTAATTTATTTTTTCCTGTATAATTTATAAAACCAATGAAGATAATAAATTGCCACAGCAAGTACTTTCTTTGGTTGGGTGCCCTGTGAACAGAGGTTCTTCTTCGTGGTCTCTGTGAATGCACAATGCGCAGGAACCTCCAGAATATTCTAGAGCTCAAACCTGTGTTTGTTAGGCCCCCCCCCCCCAGTACACGTGGTCCGCCTGTCGTGGCGATTACCTCAGTTCCTTTTTGCTGCCGCTAAGGTTTCATATCTCTGAGCTCTCCGTTTGCGCAGATTAGTTCTTTTCCTGAAAAAAAAATCGTTCATATATTCAAATAGACTGTTCAATATACCTTTTTGTTATTCTTTGTGACTTTCTTCTCATTTTTAATTTCCTCCTCTTTCCCTCCCTTCCCTTTTTATGGCCCCGACAGGGCTGTTTGAGAGGTGCACTTTGTGCACTAATAAGTTGCTGGTGTCTGATGGCCACGATTCTTGCTTATTTTGTTTGGGAGAGTAGCATCAACCAGCTTCTTGCTCCTATAGCAAAAACTTTACTAAACAATCCTTCAAGCTCCATCAACAGCGTCTTAAATCTTTCCTGTGGGAGCAATCTCTTCGTCCACTGAACAAGATGGAGGACTCTCAAGCTTTACAACTGCCACCAGTTTATTCAGCCACCAATTCGCTGTTACAGTCTCCTAAACCTAAGCCAAAATTTCCCAAGTTGAAGTTGTGTGGATTGACATCTCAGTCCACTTCGAAACCACCCAGTACCAAACCAAAGAAATCAAAAAAGTCCCTTCAACCAATACAAGTCTTTTCTAGACAAGCAATGCTACTTACCTCAACTGTCTTCCTCCTTCCAACCTCGTCAGCACATTCAGAAACAGCACCCTTGTCAATCCTTCAGGCGCCCTGATAAAAAAAGCAAACAGATCCTTTGACTTTCCAACTGTCCTGCTTCCCACTCCATCCCCTCCCGTCACCACCCGCCTCGCACACCATTTTCAATCTTGGGCGCGCATTACCACAGATTTGTGGGTTCTAGCAATCATTTCCATCGGATACGCAGTAGAATTCCTTTCTGTACCACCACCATGGATCGTTCTGACTTCCCCATCCACTGCTCTCAAATCAGAGATCCAGTCACTCCTTTCAAAGAACACTATTTCTCTCATCACCCCGAGTGCCTCGAACTGGGCTTCTTCTCCTGATACTTCCTCGTTCCAAAATGAGACAACACTCTATGTCCCATCCTCAACCTTCGTGACCTCAATTACTTCATCACTCAGAGGCACTTCTGCATGGTGATTCCGGAACGTATACTTCCCCTTCTCCAGGAGGGAGACTGGTGGTCAGTCTTCAACTTGAGCAACGCCTATTTTCATATCACCATCGGACACAACAATTGCAAATTCCTTCCCTTTTCCTTTGGTCATGCCACCTACGAATTCAACACCCTACCGTTCGGCCTCTCCACAGCTCTGTGAGTGTTTACAAAATGCATGCGCACCTTCGCACCCTTGGAATCTCGGTGTTCCCGTACATTGACGACTGGTTACTCATGGTTGAGTTGCGAGCACAAGCTCTAAAAGACGTTGCTGTCACTCTTTTGGCAGATCTCGTACTAACTCCCTCAAAGAGTCAATTATATTGGCGTCGTTCTAGACTTGCATCACGCCAGGACTATTCCTCCCTTGAGAATGCGCAATCAAGATACGTTCTCTTGTCATCCACTACCAGCCTTACACACGGGACACTGCTCATTATATACAGCACCTCCTCGGCCTCATGGCCTCCACTACATCCATCATTCAACATGCCTGACTGAAAATGTGCTCATTCCAGGCGTGCTACCTCTCCTTAATCGACCCACTTCTCAACCCACCCACTATGTTTCTACAAGTCATCCGCGAACTTGCATCCCAGCTGATTTGGTGGATCACACCGGCCAATCTTCCTCGGATGACCATTTACACCTCCCCAACTGGCAATTCAAGTTACAACCGATGCCAGCCCCGTTGTTTGGGGTGCACATTGCAAAGACCTTCATATCCATGCCACATGGTGTTCTCATGAAAAAAACTCTCCAAATCAACAACCTCAAATTGCTAGCGATCTTCAAAGCATGCTGTGCTTTCCAGCCACTCATTGCGGGCACCTCAGTCCAGGTCACCACTGACAATATGACAGCACTTTATTATATCAACAAACAAGGGGGTACACTCTCTCTACCCCTCCTCTATCTTGCTGTCCAATTTTGGGAGTGGTGCTTGGATCACCA